TCAATCGGTCGCTAATGTGAAGCCTAGACGGGAAGATGCCACATGAGGCCTGGTACAATAGAAAGCCAGTGGTACATCATTTTCGAGTGTTCGGATGTGTCGCATACATGAAGGTAGCGCGTTCCAATCTTGTCAAGCTCGATCCAAAGGGGTTGAAGGTCGTCTTCATCGGCTACAAACCTGGGAGCAAGGCGTACAGACTCTATGATCCTGCGGGGGGTGAGCCCACGTGTCTCGTGATGTCATCTTCGACGAAAGCACCTTCAGGCAGTGGAACGACGTGATCGAGACAGCCCACAACCCAAATCAATTCACGGTGGAGTACCTCGTCATCGAGCCAGAAGAAGGAGGAGCACAGCATCAGGAACCGTCACAGCCGCCAGCAGTTGCACCCCTTGAACCAGTGGAATTTGCAACACCACGGACTGTGGATTCGACGCTGGATGTCGATCACGATGAAGATCTGGTAGCCAGGTACTGGAGGATGGACGACCTAGTGGGAGGAGGTGAAGCCCCTAGACTAGCAGCACGCAAACTGGAACAAGAGGTGGCCGAACTGCATGTCATCAACGCAGATGAACCGAACACCTTCGCTGAAGCAGAAAGGAACCCGTGCCAGCTGAAGGCAATGCAGAAGGAGATGAAATTCATCACCGAGAACCAGACATAAAGTCTAGAGGATATGTCACTGGGACACCAAGTCATAGGGCTCAAATGGGTCTTCAGACTGATGCGAACGAAAAGGGAGAAGTTGTGAAACTCAAGGTCAGTCTGGTGGTGAAGGGCTACGTCTAGAAGCAAGGAGTGGATTTTGAGGAGGTATTCGCACCAGTGACAAAGCTGGAATCTACCCACCTATTGCTGGCAATCGCGGCACATCATTCCTGAGAAGTCCACCTCATCGACGTGAAACCCGCGTTCCTAAACGGAGAGCTGAAGGAGACTGACTATGTTCAACAACCACCGAACTTCCTGGACAACGACAACCCTGACAAGGTATTGTGCCTGCACAAGGCACTCTATGGGCTTCGGCATGCACCACGAGCCTGAAACACGAAGCTCGACAGTACCCTATTATCGCTAAAGTTCAAGCGCTGTGCCTCTGAGCATGACATGTACACGCCCGGCCACGACGAGTAGCGACTAATCGTGAGAGTGTATGATATAAACCAAAAAACATCAATCATACAATATACTTCAATGAAGATGTGAAGAAAATGTTGTCAAAATTATCAAAAGATGTTTTAATTCATGCCACATTGAAGAAGAATGAAGTTTGATTGTTATAAATTTTGGGTGGGTTACAATTTAGAGTTATTGTATTTTAAGACATTTTATTTACTTTAGGTTACATTTACATAATGGCTAATTATGGCCATAAAGTATGAAGGTTACAACTCTTGGAGTGCCTTTAATAGTTTCATTTTTTAGGCTATATAAAGCCATGTATATTGTATTGGTAAGAGACTTGGAAAATATAGAAAAAGAAGCATTTGTCCTCTTCTTTAGCCAATGGCTAAGTTTCTTTGCAATTCTATGTAGTTTAGGTTGCATGTAGAATCATTCAAGCTCGACATGATTAATCTTGCTTGTGGAGTGATTCGAATCTCAAGCAAGTGTTCTTGCCTTGAGATATTTGATCAACAAGAATCATTCAAGCTAGACATGATCGATTTTGCTTGTGGAGTGATTTGAATTTCAAACAATGTTCTTGCCTTGAGATATTCGATCAACAAGGTAATCCGAATCTTACTCCCCTTGTAGTGGTTCCTTATCTTATCAGTGTACGTCGATGACCTCATAATCACTGGAGGCGACATGGAAGTCCTCGGAAGATTCAAGAGGGAGATGTCAAAGAACTTCAAGATGAGCGATCTTGGCATGCTCAGCTACTACCTCGACATCGAAGTGCAACAGGGTACTACCGGCATCACCATCTGCTAAAGTGCATATGCGAAGAAGCTGTTGGACACAACTGGGCTTGTGGACAGTAACCCTATAAAGACTCCAATGGAGGGCCCGACTCCAACTAAGGAAGGCCGGCACTATGACGGCAATTAATGCCACCAATTACCGCAACATTGTCAAAAGCCTGCGCTATCTGATAAACACACGTCCTGACCTTGCTTACTTAGTTGGATACGTAAGTAGATTCATGGAAGAACCTAGGGAGGAGCCTCTTGTGGTTGTCAAGCGCATCCTGCACTATGTGGCTGGAACCAGAGGCTGGGGTGTGAGATACTGCACCAGGAGAGGAAAGGAGAAGCTTGAGCTTGTTGGCTACAGCGATAGTGACATGACCGGTGACGTTGATGATCGTAAGAGCACCAGTGGGGTGATTTACTTCCTCTCAGGCAGTGCGATCTACTAGCAATCAACAAAACAAAAGGTAGTTGCTTTGTGATATGAACCAAGAGACATCAATCATACAATATGCTTCAATGAAGATTTGAAGAAAATATTGTTGAAATTATCAAAAGATATTTCAGTTCATGCCACATTGAAGAGAAATGAAGTTTCATGTTTTGAATTTTGGGTGGATTACAATTTAGAGTTATTGTATTTCATTAATGTATTTTAAGACTTTTAATTTACTTTAATTAAGGTCATTTAGTTCATGCCTAGAATTGATTAATTATTTATATATTTTTCAATCTTTCCATTTATTTGTTGATTGTCATTTCCACCCTCCTTGGCCTTTTGACTTTGTTCTCATTTTATTCCTAAAGATCATATTTAGATCTTAAAAAAACAATATAGAATTTTACTTCTTAATATTGTGTTTATACATAGTTAGGGCATGTGCAATTCTACTAAAAAATATAATAGTCCCTTATTTGTTTGATTGTTTATTATTTTATTTTTATGTTATTTTACAATTAACTTGTCATGATTGTCCATGCCCAATCCCAATGAACAACCCTTCGATCCGATCTGCCTGCCCTTATTGCACGGTTTACAGAGCACTTGTGTATGTGATGTCAGCCCAGCCTCGAAAATCAAGCTTTGCCCTGCTTATTCACTCGGACTGGGACCCTTATTGCACGGTTTACAGAGCACTTGTGTATGTGATGTCAGCCCAGCCTCGAAAATCAAGCTTTGCCCTGCTTATTCACTCGGACTGGGAGAAATTGAAAGAAAAAAAGGGGTGCAACACGAGGACTTCCCAAGTGGTCACCCAACTTAGTACTACTCTCGCCCAAGCACGCTTAACTGCGGAGTTCTGATGGGATCCGGTGCATTAGTGCTGGTATGATCGCACCCGACATGCCATGCGCACAAAATCGGATTTAACGCATGCGGGGCGGCATGATCGAAACGCGATGGGCGTGAGCGGGGGAGGTTCTCATTTTGCCCTGCTTATTCACTCGGACTGGGAGAAATTGAAAGAAAAAAAGGGGTGCAACACGAGGACTTCACAAGTGGTCACCCAACTTAGTACTACTCTCGCCCAAGCACACTTAACTGCGGAGTTCTGATGGGATCCAGTGCATTAGTGCTGGTATGATCGCACCCGACATGCCATGCACACAAAATCGGATTTAACGCATGCGGGGCGGCATGATCGAAACGCGATGGGCGTGAGCGGGGGAGGTTCTCATTTGCAGAGAAAGGAAGAAAAGAACTGGGAGAAATTGAAAGAAAAAAAGGGGTGCAACACTAGGACTTCCCAAGTGGTCACCCAACTTAATACTACTCTCGCCCAAACACGCTTAACTGCGGAGTTCTGATGGGATCCGGTGCATTAGTGCTGGTATGATCGCACCCGACATGTCATGCGCACAAAATTGGATTTAACGCATGCGGGGCGGCATGATCGAAACGCGATGGGCGTGAGCGGGGGAGGTTCTCATTTGTAGAGAAAGGAAGAAAAGAACTGGGAGAAATTGAAAGAAAAAAAGGGGTGCAACACGAGGACTTCCCAAGTGGTCACCCAACTTAGTACTACTCTCGCCCAAGCACGCTTAACTGCGGAGTTCTGATGGGATCCGGTGCATTAGTGCTGGTATGATCGCACCCGACATGCCATGCGCACAAAATTGGATTTAACGCATGCGGGGCGGCATGATCGAAACGCGATGGGCGTGAGCGGGGTGTCACGGTCATGCTCGTCCAGGGCGTGTTGCCCATGGCCGCATGCCTATGGCAAGCCAAACCCTTGTCATGTCTTTTCATTCTAGTGTTTTTACTTCTATAGTTCTAGGGCGTATGACGCCTCAAAAATATCATGTCTAGGCCTGCCAGACATAAAATGTCTCAAAATGTACTATAGGGGGATATGACTAGTTGTCAACTTCTCCCTACCCAAGGTTATATATGCTAAGCCGTTGTTATCTCTCTCTTGCTTGCTTATATAACGTCTCTTTCAAAAATCTCTCTTTCTAAAATCTCTCTCTACCCTCGTTTTCCAAAACCTTCTTTTAAAACCGAGGCTAGAGGCTCGATCATACGTCGCTTGGCCGTAGGCGACGCAAGTACAAATTGGCTCAGCTCACTTGTCGTTGGAAAGTGAGTGCCGTACAATCGCTAGTCCGCTGCCTTTAAGAGCGCGATTGTGTCAAGTGGTATCAGAGCTTTGTTAGCTCCGTGACACAGTAAAGACCGAAACCATGTCGACGACAAAGTCGACACCCAAAGCACAAGCCGACCGGCTTACGCTAATAGAGGAGGAAATGCTGTTCCTCAAAGAAGTCCCTGACACCCTCCGCTTCCTGGAAGCACGGGTGACCGAATTGAGTGAGAAAGTCGTAGGAATCGACGCAATGGGCAACCGCTTGGATGGGTTGCCAATCGCAGAATTGATGTTTCGAGTGACCTCGCTCGAAGAAAGAGTTGCTCCTACGAGCAGCCCAAAACCATCTGGTAGTCCGGATAGCTCTGTCGCGCACAAGGAGGGACGTGGCGAAGAGTTCGACGTGCTACAAAATACAATGATGAGCTTGTTCAATGGACTAGCTGATGAGTTCAGAACAACAATCGATGACATCCAAGAAAGAATGGCCTCCATGGGCACTCGAATTGAAGTGACCATGAAAGCCGTGGAGAACGTCACGGCTGGACAAACAAATACAGGGTCCAACAAACTAAGATTCCCAGAACCTAGAGCCTTTAAAGGGAATCAGGACGCCAAAGAGTTAGAAAACTTCATCTTTGATGTCGAACAGTACTTCAAAGCCACAACGACTTGTGCTGACGACAAGAAGGTGACCGTAGCTTCGATGTATCTCACAGACGACGCCAAACTGTGGTGGCGTACGAAGGTGCAAGACATCGAGGATGGATTGTGCACCATTGACTCGTGGGAGGACCTTAAGAAAGAGTTGAGGGACCAGTTCCTCCCCGAAAACGCAGAACATTTAGCAATGGAAAAGCTAGTAGCCCTGAAACACACTGGAAGCATAAGAGACTATGTCAGACAGTTCTCAACCCTGATGCTCGATATCAGGGGCACATCAGAGAAGGACAAGGTGTTCTTCTTTATAAATGGGTTGCAACCGTGGGCCAAAACAAAGCTACACGAGAACAAGGTCCAAACCCTAGCCGCCGCAATGGCCTGTGCCGAGAGACTCCTAGACTATGGGAACGAAGCGGGATCCCAAAGGAGAATAACACCAGCCCCAAACACTGGTGGCAAGCCATACAAACCACCAAGTCATCGAAATGGAAGCCCCAACAGGCCGAACGGAGGTAACGACAGACCAAGCGGATGGACGGATAGACCTCCACAGAATAACCAAGCAGGGACATCTCGAGGACCTTACCATCAAAGGAACCACCCGACGACGCCGTTACAATGCATGCTCTGTAAAGGTCCCCACAAGGTATCTTACTGTCCTCATCGGGCCTCTCTCACTGCGCTCCAAGTGTCCATTCAAGAGAGCAATGACGCAAAGGTTGAGACTATGCTTGACAAGAAGGAAGATCAGGACAATCCCCGAATGGGCGCACTTAAATTCTTGTCAGCTCTCCAACGGAAGGTCGAACCGAAGGAGATAGTAGAGAAAGGACTCATGTTCGTAGATGCGACAATAAATTTCCAACCGAATAGGAGCACTCTGATAGATTCAGGAGCGACCCACAACTTTATCGCTGATCAAGAAGCCCGAAGATTAGGACTCACTATAGGAAGGGACCCGGGAAAAATGAAAGCTGTCAACTCTGAGGCCTTGCCTATTGTGGGAGTTTCCAAAAGAGTCCCCTTTAAAATAGGGGATTGGACAGGAGAGCTAGATCTTGTCGTAGCTCGCATGGACGACTTTGACGTGGTACTTGGGATGGAGTTCCTCCTAGAACACAAAGTTATCCCAATGCCGCTGGCAAAGTGCTTAGTGATCACTGACCGCAACCCCACAGTAATACCTGCAAGCATCAAGCAACCAGGTAATCTTCGAATGATCTCGGCCATACAATTGAAAAAGGGACTCGCACGAGAGGAACCTACATTTATGGCCATACCATTGATGGAAGTAACAACCACCGAAGAAACTGTCCCAAATGAAATCAATGAGGTACTAAACGACTATGCTGACATAATGCCAGAGAGCTTACCCCAAACATTACCACCTCGTCGAGGCATTGATCACGAAATCGAACTCATCCCCGGAGTTAAACCGCCAGCGAAGAACGCATACCGGATGGCTCCGCCCGAGCTAGCCGAATTAAGGAAACAACTGGATGAGTTGCTGAAGGCGGGATTCATCCGCCCGGCAAAGGCACCCTATGGAGCCCCCGTACTGTTCCAGAAGAAGAAGGATGGGACGTTGCGTCTGTGTATAGATTATAGAGCCTTAAACAAGGTGACGGTACGCAACAAATATCCACTACCGATAATATCCGACTTGTTCGACCAACTTCACGGGGCCAAGTACTTCACGAAGTTGGACTTACGATCAGGGTATTACCAAGTACGTATTGCCGAAGGGGACGAGCCCAAGACGACGTGCGTAACAAGATATGGGGCCTTCGAATTCCTAGTAATGCCCTTTGGCTTGACAAACGCTCCAGCTACTTTCTGCACGTTGATGAACCAAGTTTTCTACGAATACTTGGATCAGTTTGTCATAGTATACCTCGACGACATAGTGGTTTACAGCACAACCCTAGAGGAACACAAAGTGCACTTGAAGCTGGTGTTCGACAAACTGCGACAAAACCAACTGTATGTCAAGAAAGAGAAATGTGCATTCGCACAAACATGCATCAACTTCCTTGGACATGTCGTCAGATGTGGACAGATTAGTATGGATAGCGATAAGATAAAAGCTATCCAAGAATGGAAGGTTCCTACTTCCGTATCCGATTTGCGGTCCTTCTTAGGATTAGCCAACTACTATAGGCGGTTCGTCGAAGGGTTTTCACGACGAGCCGCCCCATTGACAGAGCTGTTGAAGAAAGACCACACTTGGTCGTGGTCAGATGATTGTCAAATGGCCTTTGAAGATCTGAAAACAACCATGACGAGGGGTCCTGTCCTCGGATTGGTAGATGTTACAAAGCCATTTGAAATAGAAACAGACGCTTCCGACTTTGCCCTAGGTGGGGTCCTTATTCAAGAAGGCCACCCCATCGCTTTCGAAAGTCGAAAACTCAATGACGCCGAACGTAGATACACTGTCTCCGAAAAAGAAATGCTGGCAGTAGTCCATTGCCTTCGAGTCTGGAGACAATATCTCTTGGGATCACAGTTTGTAGTGAAGACGGATAACAGCGCCATTTGCCACTTCTTTGATCAACCAAAATTGACGGCAAAACAAGCCCGGTGGCAGGATTCGTTGGCTGAATTCGACTTCAAGTTCGAACACAAAGCAGGGAAGAGTAATCAAGCAGCCGATGCACTGAGTCGGAAGGGCGAACATGCGGCCCTGTGCATGTTAGCCCATATTCACTCAAGTAAGATCGATGGATCGATGCGCGACATCATCAAGGAACATTTACATAAAGACCCATCAGCCAAAGCCGTCGTCGAACTAGCTAAAGCTGGGAAAACACGACAGTTTTGGGTTGAGGGAGACCTTCTGATGACAAAAGGAAACAGGTTGTATGTCCCAAGAACGGGAGAACTGAGGAAGAAGCTCATTCAGGAATGTCATGATACCTTATGGGCCGGACACCCCGGGTGGCAAAGAAC